CCGAAAAATAAACTCAATGAATATTTGTATGAAACAATGAAATAAGTAATCGTTTCAACTAGTTTCAAGAGCTAGTTTTGTAATCTAGATCCAAGGCTGTATACATCTTTGAATGGGAACAGGGTGCATTTTACACAAGCACCTGAATACCATTAACATTAACAGTGGCTTTATGCATACCGAGTTCTGAGAACATCAAAGTCAAATGTGTTTTAGCGCACTCAGGATTACAAAGAGTGCACTAAATAAGCATTACATTGCAGGTTTTGACAGCATCCTTTTGTATTCTAATGTAAGGTTGCACAAGATCTGTTACCCGCCACAGAAGAACAGGAAGAGCCGACACCTTGTAGAGATCTGGCCAAAAACAGCAACGTATAGCTCGATGAAAACGCAAACACTTCACACAGAGTAAAACGCAGACAGGAGAAAAAGAAAAAGTAGACATATTTATTATGGAAATGCACACAACAGATAGTTTGTAGCTAAATCTTACATTGTATAGTGCGTCTTCTCCACCCCTTTTCATAAAGACACATAGAAATTAGATTAATGTTTAAAAAAGGGTACTCACTTAGGGTTGACACAAACATGATGCAGAAACCAGCAAACATCGGGATCTGGTATCCTATTCTGCAATTATATATATATGGAACTTCTTGAACCTCTTGCACCAACATTTTCCATTTGACCACAAATATTGAACTTGCAATGCTGGCATCACTCAGAAGTAAAATCAAGATGTTATTATCAGTGTTGGGGAAAGTTACTTTTAAAAGTAATGCATTACAATATTGTGTTACTCCATAAAAAAGTATGTATGCACACACAAACATATCATGCAATCTCATGCTCCTTTTGAGAGAAATGCTAGTTGCTGTACTTTCAAAGATAAACGCGTGATTTGCCTTAACCCACCTGTTGGTTAGGGGCCCTATGAAGGGGTTAGTAATTAACTGTACTGTTGCTTTAGAGGCAAACAACAGACCCACTTTCACATTCTCATTCAGAAGCTGGTCATTTGCTTTGGGGCAGTCAGACTTATTTTGAGGGGGCATCACAGAAGTAGGGGCCGGGGTCATTGGGCTAGCCGTGCTCATCTGTAGGCTGAAGCCAGTTAGGCGTGTTGTGTTATCGTACAGAGACACAATGCTCTGAAAGGTGCCAGATGGGGACAGAGGAGACATGGAGTGATTTTGGACCGACTGAGCAGCCTCGTCGTCCACTGAGTACAGGTAGCTTGGAATAATAGGCACTACAGAGAGGAAAGAGTAGAGATCATAATAACCATGAGACAGAGATTGATATCATTCATTTGTTTATACATGGTCTTAAATTATATCCTACATTACTTGAGGTTTCGCAGTGAGCAAGCTTTGTTCTACTCTTAAAACATAGATATATTCAGAAAACCACGAATCAGTTTTAGAATCAATGTTTACTAATCATTTTCCAGAAAAACTGAAGTTCAAAGACTTATCAAGCTGTGTAACACCACATTTGACCTTTCAAGTGAACAATTGGGTTTGTTAGATGCGTTTGACATTATCATGCGTAAATAACCCACAGGGACACCGTGTGCGATAACGCTCAAAAGCCTCTTCATTCAACACTTGAGCCAAAGAACGACAGGTTCATTTTCCGCCTGGTTCCATCTGTATGTACACACAGGCCATATTCATCGTGTGTATTATTTCCAGCTTAATTGCCGTGTCCGTTTCTTGGCTCGCGAACGTGAGAACAAACACAGACAGTTTAACGCGCGCGGACGGAGCTCTGGCAGCGTTTGAGGACAAGATACTTTAATTCAGATCAACTGCAGCCACTGGAGTTTACTCGGGGAAACAGTCGTTTAGGATAGTTAAAGGTATTTTATTTACTAGGCATATTAATCAGATTTATCATTTTACTTTCAATGCACGTTTATCGAACAAATAAAGTTTTTGAAATAATTTAAATCAAACAATTAATTAAAAGTAGTACTGCAAAACTGTTCTAAAATCGATTATTGAAAAAATTAATAATTATAACGTTTATGCAAAAATGCACTTTTTCCAACGCTAATTTCGTTTATTTAAGAAGACCCGCCCTATTAATTAGGACGCCATATTTTAATTCTAACATTTGTATACACTCAGCAAACGAGTTTCGTTTGAGTTCACATCTTTATAATGCATACTTAATGCAAAATATATGAATATATGAAATGTTACGTTTTGTAAATATTACAGATATATTATGAAAGCATGATAATATAGGCTGTTATCGTTAAATGCATCATATGTTTATAAGCCGTGTTTGCATGAACAGTTTATCATTATGTGCTCGCTGCATCATATGTGCCCGCACATGTAACAGGTGTGAACAACAGTAGCACTTACCGACCACCGTCAATAGCATGTTGTCCAACAGCAAAGCAATGAAAACGATCAACAGAATCAGCCTCCGAGACTGTCTTTCTTCTCTTAGCCATGTTAATAAACTAAAATCTCTAAGGGCATCAAATAGTCCCATTTTAATAAAATCCAATTGCCAAAGAGCGAGTGAAAAAGATCCTGCAAAAAACAACAACAACAACAAAAAAAAAACGGTCAAAGAACATCAGTGGCATCAAAACATCATAAAATGTGTTTGAGAGAACCTTGAGGGGATGATTAGATATGAGAGAAATATGTCAAACATTAAAGTCAACTGACACTTTTATACTATCATAGGCTAAATATATGCACTGAAGCTCTCTGAAAATAATAAACTATAAACAATTGAGATTTTTCTCTTTCTTATGCTAAGTCTAAATATTTGCAGTGAATAATACACCCAGTATGGTTTTGATTCTTACCTTATAAGCACATTTGCATTGAGCTGTGCTGTCAGATCCTGGGTGAAAGGCACGCTGGATGCGGAGCGTTTTAGTTGCTTGACTGCTGTTTGACGTCACGCAGTTTCGCAGAGAATTCAGATGGGGTGTGCTGCTGTGCTGCTGTGTGCTGTGCTGCTGTGTGCTGTGCTGCTGTGTGCTGTGTGCTGTGTGCTGTGCTGCTGTGCTGCTGTGTGCTGTGCTGCTGTGTGCTGTGTGCTGTGTGCTGTGGTGCTGTGCTGCTGTGTGCTGTGCTGCTGTGTGCTGTGTGCTGTGCTGCTGTGTTCTGTGTGCTGTGCTTCTGTGCTGCTGTGTGCTGTGTGCTGTGTGCTGTGCTGCTGTGCTGCTGTGTGCTGTGTGCTGTGTGCTGTGCTGCTGTGTGCTGTTGTGCTGCTGTGTCCTGTGCTTCTGTGCTGCTGTGTGCTGTGTGCTGTTGTGCTGCTGTGTGCTGTGCTGTGACACCAGTGAACCGTCACACAAAAATGAGAAAGGCAGGAACGCCTTATTTACTGCTTGCTTTTATTTGTATGTATACATCTATTTAGCCACTACTTACTTCATTTAATATCAAGTTAAATGTAAGTTTAGGCTAATATTTTCATATAACTATGATGCAAGTCGTATGTGTGCTTTAAGATTGTGATGCTGTTTAGCCGACTTGACTAGTGTTAGGAAGTTATTTGCAGAAGGAAAGTTGCAGTCACTTGTTGAGTTTAACGGCAGCACCAGCAACACCAGCAGCTTGACATCAGTCTGATATCCAAGTGTTTCAGCGCGTTTTGCCAGATGGGTGAAATCAGCAGCCTTCTCTTCTTCAATATAGTTTTACAACAGCGCTATCTTGTGGCGCGAGAGGAAGTGAGGCGTTAGGCTACTATGAATGTGGTAGATGCTATGAATTTGGTAGATGCTTTTTTTAAAGTGTCTTAATGAAAATGTAAGCTATATTGTGTATTACCATGTGCTCAGCTAACAAAAAGGTTTTCTAAGAACGTTTTGCTAACGTTCCCATTAAGTGGAAAACGTTAGGCTATTTCTGAAAGCTTTCTGAACGTTCAACACGTCCATTTTTAAACGTTTATAAAAAATTGTAATGGTTATACGAACGTTAAATGAAAATTCCATTGTATAATTTTGTAAATATAACTTTTGAATGATCTTTGCATTTAAAAATGTTAGACGAACGTCAAACATTTCAGAAAAAAAAACGTTCCATGAAAGGTGTATAAATCATGAGTTTGTGCTGTTTTGAGGACATTATTAAATAACACGTACCTTTGAGCGAACGTTCCATTAACATTACTGGAGAAACGTTAGTTCATAACTTTGAGAGAACCCTGCCAAAATTATGAGAATGTTGCCTGTTAGTTAAGTGTGTTCCTTAGGAATTAAACCTTTGACTTTCTCTATCGCACCAGTTGAGAAAGAAAAGAAGAGACGTGGATAGAGATATTTTTGTAAACATACAAACTCATCAAATGGCACAAGTGATTCATTTATTCACTTGGTTTCAAAGTGAATGATCAGTGGATAATATTACGTTTCACAGCCAAGATATTACAGGTGCTCAATCATATATTTACATACTAGCTTTAGTATTACTGAATAAATTAATTTTACATGCACACTTACTTTCATAACATTAATATCACTAAGCGAAAAGTAATGCATTGATTAGAAAGTTGAATCAAACAACACGCTTGGCATTGAATGAAAGAATAAAAACAATATTGGTTATATTATCGGATATATTATGAAAACCCAGTTATACATACAGTACAAGCTTTTTGCATGAACATGAATAAATGCCAAGAATAAATTGATTTAATAAGTGACTTGCATTGCTAGTGCATTTCTGACAAGCTACATAAACAAAAATAAACAATGTCTCATGCATTTTCTTGCTTTTGGCTGAAATAGTTAACAGGAGTGTAAGCTTCATTTTGAGCCTCTTTCTCCTATACTTGTTCACTGCAGCAGGACTATGGTTCATTTCACTTCAACCCACTGTATATCAAACTGGCAGTGATACCCTATAGATATTAAAACACATTACCATCTTGCGCTGAGAATACCCATGCTTTCCTGTAGTAATTTCATGTGCCATTAGCAAAGCCACAAAAACCAACTGCTTCTTTCTGCTTTCAGTTACTGTCTAGGTCTTTGTGTATTCCTACCTTGCCCATGCTAACAGACTTCATGCACCGCCTGTAAAAGCTAACAATTTGTGATTGGCCGAGTTTGAAGGCCATACTCATAATGGCCATGCCTGTGATAATAAACAAAAAGGTAACCATGAAGTAATTTGGGTGTTCAGGCACAATGTCCCCAAAGCCAATGGTGGTCAAGGTGATGAAGGTAAAATAAAAGGCATCAAAATGGTCCATCTGCTTCTCCCAGCATCTCAGAATTTGACTGCAGACCACCATATACGCAAATACTACCAGCAAGATGACCAGCAGAGGGACTTTAAAGCGGTCCATCTCCTGTCCAATGCCAATGAATAACTTGGAGCTGGCTTTTGTGGGTGGCATACGGTCGAGGTCTGGGCACGAGCAAGATTTTGTCAGAGCGGTTTTGAGCTTGAAGTTCTCCTTAATAATCATGCGGTCAAAGATCTCTTTGTTACGTATCTGCAAGGAAGTGCGTCTGAGGGACGACTGGGTTTTTATCACCTGTTGAATGTTCCTTGTCTCGTGCATCACAACATCCAGGCTGAATATATAGGTGCCGTCGGTATCAGCACCTTGAACTTGTTTTGGAGATGATGCCTTTTCATGCCTGTGAATGCATGAGCAATGTAACTTCCGTTCTCTGAAGAACAGGCTGAGGCGAGAGTACGCTTTAGAAAGAAGAACAGCTAAGATATCTCCCACATCTGAGATGACTAGCAGCATGAGAGGAATGCCCACCATCGCATACAGGATACAACCCACCTTGCCTTCATAAGTCACTGGATACATTTGTCCATAACCTGTTATACAAGAAAAACAGAGCAGAACTGACAGTTAGAAATACTATTTCTTACAGAATTTCCACTTTTTTTCACCTATTAGACCTGGGGTGTCCAATCCTGCTCCTGGCGATCGACTGTCCTGCAAAGTTCAGCACCAACTCTAATGAAACACCTTTAACTTTAGCCTTTAACTTTCAAGTGGTCCTGAAGACCTTAATTAGTTGCTTTAGGTGTGTTTGATTAGGGTTGGAGCTGAACTTTGCAGGACAGTCGATCGCCAGGAGCAGGATTGGGCACCCCTGTATTAGACCAATGGGTCTCAGCACTGCCATCTGCTGGATGTCGTTATCAGTGCATCAGTAATGCAATGTATAATAATAATGCATAATAATAATTTATTACTTTATATAATGTGATAGCCTGAAACTGTCCTCATAATATGAAGTCATACATTTATTTGAGATTTCATGGTCACATGGTTGCTATATTTTATTTGATCAAGTACTTTCTCCCCAAAGTTCACCTGTTTTGCTGTCCCATTTTGTCCAAGCATCAAAGCCAAATATGTAAAAATTTGAAAGCAATCGAAAACATTAGGTTGTTTAACATCTGTAATTGCTTTGTCAGACAACAAATAGGTCTCATTGTTGCCACTGTTTGGGTAGGTGATAATATCTATTTTTTTCATCAGAGCAAGTGTCAGAGAGATTGGTGTAAAAAAGAATACGATACAGAAGGAAAGTAAGAGAAAGAGAGATGAACTCATCTGAACTCATCAGCCTCAGTTGCCTCAAAAACCAATACTCATTAAAGTTAACTGCTGAGATAATCAAAGATATACGCCCTTCCTAGATAACATAATGGACATCCACAGCAACAGACTGCTGCGCTTGGCACTTTTGCATAATGCTTTTCTGCAAGAAGTCCTGAAAGACGAAAGTTTACATTCAATTAATATCTGAGCTGTGGTTAGCTGTGACTTACAATCAGAGTGGAGAGAGATTTTTTCCCCATCCTCCACAGCTGTGAATGTAAAAGAATACATTTATGTCACAGAATACAGACAAAAGATGTGCTTCTTCCATATGATTCTGTATAGTAAATCATAATTTGATTACAATGCCTCTCTGAAGAGAGGCCCATTAAAGGTTTACTGGAAATGGTTTTGCTGGTGTGGGCTAGTGTGTAAATAAGTTAGTGCATAATTCCGGACTCTGCCCCTCTGTATTGGCACACTGTCTGTATCTTGCTGGCAATTGCTTGAAAAGCACGATTATCTTTGTCTGAAACTTGCATTTTCCATCCATGGTCACAATATTTTTTGCTACAGCCTAGTCAGGCAGTGGGCAGGTCACCCGAGTTTAAATCCTTTCTTGAATTTCCTATGCCTCCCTGTTGTTTCCAGTTTCATACACTGTCCTATCTAAACATCTCAAACTGAATATGTTTTGAGAAGTCTCACAGGTTTGAACAAACGTTTTACATGTTTAGTTTTTGAAGTTTTCTACATAAATTATTCTATTTTCAAATGTCTGCTCTGGGAGTAGGCCTACTAAAAAAAAAAAAATTTGGTGAGTGGATACGAAATGCAAAAAGGGCAGATTGCTTTACGGCAGAAACAAATGCACATGTAAAGCTATACACCGTAATAATGACAGTGAATTCCACTCACTTAACAGTATTGGGCACCAAAGTCGCAAAAAATACACAAAACTACATTGATATTGACAATTTAAAACGTAATATTAATATTTGTGTTTACTTACAGCTGTGTCAGTTAAAAAAACTTTGCAGGATTGCAGGCTCTTGATAATATATTTCAATATATGCTTGTTTGGCAAGTGCATAATGGTAGAGGACCATAACCATATCATCTACATAATTTATCTCTCAGCTTAAACCTAGTTTTTGCCCATTGTATGAATAATGCAACACAAACAAAATCTAGAAGTCTTTTTTCAGTGTCTTACACCTTAGGAGGGTCATTCAGTTAATACTTACTGATATTAATGGATAGCCGGAAACACATGATTTAATGAAAAAAGTCCAAAGTAATCCTTAACATGCTGATGGCGACACCTGTTTTCTGTCTTATAATGGTTAGGCTGGTAACTGTGGGCAACAGTGCAATTGTGTGTGTGCACTGCAAGAGATACAGCCAAAGGTCAGAGCTTCTCAAGCAAATAACAAACTCAATGGTGCACAGAACGCAACAACACTTTGAGACAGACAGACTTAAAATATCTTGGTTCAGGTTAAAACACAAGAAAACAGAAATCTTTACAAACTTTGAAGTGCCAGAAAAACAAGACTACTCACCTACAGTAGTGAACAATGTACAGCAGAAGAAAAGCGAACCGTAGAAGCTCCAGTTCTGATACTCCCTTTCATTACGGAATTTGGTCAACATATTTTCTATTTTACTGAATAACGCTTCCTGTGTTGAGGCATCTAATTAATAAAATGAAACGGGGAACAATGCTAATTAAAACGTAAGCCTAACATAAATAGCCTACGTTCTTTAAAAAATACATAAATATTTACATTACAAGTGTACATTAGAGTATCACATCAAATAAATCATAGAATCATTTAAACGCAGCGAAACAACACAAAGCCTATAGGTTATAATAAATCATACATAAGCTCGAGGTAAGACCTGTGTGATTCTGCACCGTCTCCACCACTTTACGCGCCACCACACTGATGTTCTCCGGCTCACTGAATGGTTTCTTCTCAATGTGTTGAAAGATCTGCGCGCCTAAAACCGCATATAAGATGAGTGATAAAATGAGGAAAACATGAGGAAACAAACGCCAAAACAGTCTCGCGCATCTTCTTTTTGAGTCTGACTTTCGTCCCTCTTCGACCTCCACGGACATCTCTCAGAAGCGATAATGTCTGAGGAGATGAGACTGTCTTCTCATGGAGCCGGAGGAACACCACCCTGCTAAACCACAGACCTAAACTGTCTGTTTAACTTAATGTTTAATATCTTAAACAATTACCTCACTGGAGTCACAGCTGTACGCCCACAAAATACCTCGTTAAACTATTGTAGCGTTTCAACACACAACTGATTAAGAAATAGCCTTACAGTTCTACGAAGAGACAACAAGCAGTGTATCTCAGCTGGGAAGTCCGTTGAGAACGCATTGAGAGCGACAGGTGCAGATGTGTCCAATTTGAGCCTGAATGCTGCCCTTGAATCCTGACTGGACATTTGTCGTTCCCAAAAAAGCGTGCCTTTTTTTGTCCACATGAACATATGCGCAAACATTGTTTTTTTGTGTTAACAGTTGTGAAGCTAAATCTATAGTTAGGCGAAAGTGTTGAATATGACAGTAGGCTACTTGTGATGTTGACGTTATAGAGAGAGGCGAACGTTTTCTATGGTTACTTAAGAGGCTAATATCTGTTCGTTTGCGTGTATTAAATATAAATAGCTGTACAAAGTTTTATTCTATCTTTTGTGGTTAAAAGTTCTTATGTGAAGGAAAAGCAGCCAACAAGTAGCCTACTCAACACCTCTGGGAACTCCTTTAAGATACTTTGAAGAATCGAAAATATAAAACATATTCAGTGTTATTTAACAAGTTTGGTTGACTAGGCATAATTCCAGATTTGTGCTGCTATAACTGTCTTCAGTATTTACATAGTGTTGAAAATAATAAAAATAAAGAAAACCCACTGAAGGACAAGGTGTATCCAAACTTTTGACTGGGACAGACGGACAGACAAACAGAAAGACAGACTGATTAGATTTTTTAAAGGCACAGCTATATCCAGAAATATAAAAATTGTATTTAACTTGAATATTAAAATATTACAATGCTCATCACACATCAAAATGATTTTCTTAGCTGAGTGTTGCTGGTCATTGATTTCAGTGCCTGTGAATTTTATGTGTGGCCTTTTACTAGTATCTTCACATCTTTGAATTATATCTGACCATACTGCCATGCACTTATCTAATACATCTGACTCTTGTGCATCTTCAGTGTTTCGACCAGCAGGGTTATACAAAAACTGCAATGGATGTTAAAGATGCACTTGATGGGTCACTTACAGCTTATTAACTTAAGTGATACGCTTGAGGGGAAATGACCTAAAGTCTGACTGAAATCATTCAACTTGCTATAGCTGGACTATACACACATATCATGACTATCTATGTCAGCACACTTCTGCTCTCACTTTCACTTCACATCAAACTGAATCTTAAAACAGAAGCCGTGTGACTGCACTTCACAACCCATATAAAGAAAACCATTCTTTGTATATACCTGGCTTTGGAATGCTGTCAGAAGCTTTGACAACTCTGTCTGGTTAATGTTCTAAATGACTAAATATTTATGCAGAAAGCCATAGTGTTTGCCACCCACAGAGTCCAGATCAGCTACTGGGCAGATGCAGCTTCTTCATGGTCATTGTGGAAAATTATGTCATTTTGTTGGTCTGTAAGCAATCCCATATAAACAGTGACATTCCTCAGTTTGAGACTTGTGTTTGAGTGTGGTCCATCACGGGTGAACACACAGGGACGTTCTACACATCCTCTAGCCCTTGCGTGTTTGTTTATTTAATATCCTTGCTTAACTTCATTGCAAAAATCTGATTAATCCTCATGAGTCTGAGTTTGTATATCATTGGGACATGTGGCATTGTTTTTAGTTGGGCAATAAATGAAAAAATAAAGCCTATGTTTAGCCAAACTGCCATTTCTTTTATTTGAACATCACAGCAATCTACATTTACTGTTGGGATGAAAGATATGCTATTTTCACCAGCTGGCTGAATAGATTAGATTGTTTAGATATCACTCAAAATAATATGTTTATGAAACAAATCATATGCTAATGATTTTTCAAATACTGTTTTGAATTAGTTTGCATTTGGATGACAAGTAAACATGAAGGTATGGAAGCCCAATTCTACCACATAAGAAACATAATTTGATAAAATGTTATAAAACGATTATAATTATGATTTCATCAAATGACATTTCTTTCTTATGTGGTAGAATTGGGCTTCCATACCTTCATGTATACTTACATTAAAGTCAAAATTATGTGATAAAAAGCCATAAAACACAAGATGTAATTATGAGATAAAACGTTAATAATTAACTAATGAAATAAAAATTTAATTACGGATAAGTCACAAAAAAAGTTTAACAAAAATGGGAACACAAAAGGACGAGGCAGGAAGACGGTCCACACAATAGGGCAGGGCACACGACAGAACAGGCTGGTCGGGGATGAGGGTAGCTCCAGACTCTGTGGCAAAAGGGGACTAGATAGCAGCTCAAGGAACCAGACTTGGCCCTGGGGGATGGTAACTCTTGAAGCACCAAAATGTCTGTCAGGTCAGAAGAATCAGTAACCAGGGAGGACTCGGGAAGCAGGGCAGGAACCAACATGACAGATGCACAAAGACAAGAGAACAGGAGAAACAAGAGATAGACACAGATCAAAAGTAAAAACTTTTGAGACTATGACTAGGGAGATATAACATTAAAACTGAAAAAGAAAAACAAAAAAAAAAAACACTAGAAATAATTAACTGGAACTTATGAAAACAAAAGGATAACAATAGGAAAAAGCTAGGAATAAATGACTAGAACTACAAACAAAATAAAATGACAAGACAGCAACCTTCCCGAAACTAGAAAGAAAATAAAAAAAGGACAAAATCTAAAGGTTCAAGAACTAAAATAAACAACTAAACCACAAAGACTGGAACTATAGACTAGACTAAACACAGGAAATAAAAACTAGAATTAACAAGAGGGAAACTAGACTGGATGCACTATACTGAATAGCAAGCTCTAACAAGACTAAAGACACACGCAAGGTGACTGCACACCAGACACAAACAAAATGAACCAACAAAGACCAGAGGGACATGAGCACAACATAAAGGGAGCAGAGCACACGAGACTCAGGTGAACACAATTGGACAAACAAGGACTAAACAAGGGGGTGTGGTGATTGAAAACGAGGCAAGACAAGAGGAGCACATGGCCAACACAAACAAAGACACAGCCATGTGCTCAGGCCCAAAATAAACAAAGACAGGACAGACAAGACTGTCAGGGCAGGATCCTGACACAGGGCAAATTAGCGTAGAGTCACAAACAAACAAACAAAGCCATTGATAATCAGGTGAATAGAATCTGCTAACACAGGCACAAAATAGGGTTAAGTCATGCCTCTTTGGGGCATTAAATAATGGCACAAATAATACCAATAAATTTACTACCGCAAACCTTAGCAAATCACCATGCATGATTCATTTAAATCTCTCCCATCAGTTTTGCACCTCAAAGGGAAACTCCCAACAAAAGCATATGCGACAAGGTCAGTTGCAAAAATAACTGTCCACACCTTTAGTAAATCCCAATGTTAGTTTTCTATTGCCAAAAGAGGTTTGTGCTGGTGCAAGCTGTTAGTAAATCTGGCAGCAAAACAACAAGGTGACAAACATGATAAAAATATTAATATAAAGAATCATTAAATATGTCTATGGCTTACTTCATGAATACTTCAAAAACACTATACTTGCTATTGTGGAATAGTTAACATCCACTCAATATACTCTCAGGATGAGTGATGCTATGACTAGATCTAAACCATCTAAATCTAAAAAGTCATTGTCAGGCAGTAAGAGCTGATGAAGAACAACAGTCATCTAATTGATTCTTGGAATACAGTAACGGGAAAAAATACAGACAATACAGAATATTACATTTTTTATTCAATATCTGCCCCACTCCTTGTCTCATATTAAGAGATTGTTTAGCACAGGTTTACATTCGACAAAGTAATTTGACAATGCTGGATTTATGACTGACAATGAAAAGGAAACAAAACAACAAAAAACAACAACATGCATTTAGTCATAAGCCAACACTCTGTTCACTTCTCATGTCAATCAGTTGGCAGTCAGCTTAACAATCTGGATTTCCCAATTAAATAAACAAACGCTTTATTATTTAGAACTTCAAATCTTCTATATCCCAACACTGGTTTTTATGACGTATCCATGGTCTCCCCCAAAAAATAAACAAATATAATTATGTGGCATATAGCAGCCATCCATATCCACACTAAATGTTACATTTTGGCTGCATATTGGTACATGTCACACATTCACAGGTCTGATTCCACTGTCAGTTTCATTTGAAAGACAAACCATTAAACCATCATCATCAGTCAGGCGGTTACTTGGGGGAATAATAAAACGGTGTTTTTGCCTTCCGCGTTAATTAGCGTGCAGGTCACTGAAGTGCAGTGTGTTGGAGAAGTGTGTGGCTGGGCATCATTTTAAAGTGCTTCTGATTATACTTTCAGTTCTAAACTGTTGTACATTCACACTCCAGAGATTCATTCAGTCGTTTTACAGGCCTATCATTCGGTCTACCTGTCACAAATAACACCAGTTTTTATTTGGTTCTTGCTCCAGAACATTTACAACACTTCCGACTATTTAGCAAGAGACTTGATGATTCCCTTCGGCTAGCAGAAGCACATTTTGAGCAGACACACTTCACATTAAAGAAGAAGCCCTCGAATACCTTCTTTTACCAAACTTTTATAGTTGAAAGGTACACATATTAGGGTAATTTACTTTGACAGATGAACATGTTGTTGCACAGTATACAACAATATTACATGTTATTTAATGTACAGATTACCCCATCTACACACACTTACATCATTAGAGTAATATTGTAAAAATTCAGTCTGTATAAATAAATCTTTTCTGACTTTCCTTTATATTAGGATGGTTTCCAAAGCCTAGCTTTGATTCTTTATGAAAACTATTTTGCAGTAAGAGACTGAGCTAACCTCGTGATTAAAACTTTGGTGCATTAAATCAGTTAACGAAACACACACTGAGACCAGTCACACAAGATGCGTTCTGGCACACATCTGCACCACTTTTAGTTGTTTTGCTATGTAAACATACCCTACACGGACATCTCTGAATACAATCGCTGCGTTTTGCATGTTAAAAACGGTTAAACTATTAAAACATTTCGTTTCATTCCACTACGGATACCTTTTTTTGAAAGCAAAAACATGTCCTGTATGAACAGCCCTTCAGTCGTGACAAAGTTTGAGCAGTGTTTTGTCAAATGAACACTATATCCTGATGGAAAAACGTCAAAATTAGTCCCTCCTATATTTCTTCTGTATTCTGTTTGCTAGACCAATGGACGATACTGAAAAGAAAAAGTAAATCTTCAGTAATAAATAACTGAACACAATCATCCAATTTTAAACACTAGGAAGTGTGATTCGAAGGATTGTTGTAATGTGAAAGGCAGAACTGACCTCCCACATTCAAAGCTTCTATAAAAACATACTGCCTCCCTTAATGATCACAGGCCAAACGAAACATTTAGACATTCAGACAGACAACATTGCGGGTTAACACATTATATAAATGTTTAAAGCATCTACAAGGTAAATGTACTGATGTGTGTGTGTGTATATATTACATGTGTATGTACTGTATGTTGAAATATATATATCTGTGTATGGAAGAAAGGCACTAGAAAACACTGAAGCTGTACGGGTCCCAGCTTTCAGGAAGGTACAAATCTAAAAAAGATATTCTATTTGGACGACACTTTTTTGGGAAAATAAACCTGCGAAATATTTAGAAAAAGTCTTACTCCAGAATGAATACAATTACTACAAAAAGCTGCTTTTTAAAAAGAAAATCTGTTTCTATAAGGGTTCCAGTTTATTCAATACAGTTTTGGCAGGTAAATTAACTTTAATGACATATTCCGCCAGACCAAGTCCATCGAGAAGACAGCAAAAAGGCTTAGGTCTCTATCAGACCAAGGCCTGGCCATTTTTAACCATTATAAAGAGCAGCAAATCAAATCCAGTTGTTAGACGCTCTGCTATGTACATATACATACCTGCTAGGGACATTGAAATGCTTCAAATACTACAAAATGATCTGTGTATAAGCGTCACAGTGCTCAACCAGTTTTGCAGGGCTTGACGGGAAGAGTAGTTTCTCTTTTAGAGTCTCACAGAGCTCCAGCCAATCAGGAGCCATGGGTCATGACTCACGCGAGTCCAGCTTACTGTACTTAACCCGGGTGCACGTCATTGTTCGCAACAAGAATGGCAGCTGGTAGTTTCGAGGCACAATGCCACGTACATTACTCTCAAAGTATTGGAATGGACCGAACCACCACACACGAGAGAACAGGTTACCAGTGGAAATTTCCTTTAGAGCCTATAGAACAGCAGAAGAGATTAAGTTAGGAGAATTAATAGACAAAAAATGTAATCCCACAGTTTTCCAGAAAGAGCTCAAATGCAGATGTTACTGGGTAAAGACAGTTATCCATCAACTGTAGCAAAAAATTTTTTAGCTGCACATCTTCAGAAACCAACTACTGGCTTGAAGAATACAATATAATCAAAAGGTCATCAATGTATACTATAGTAAGTATTTATTTTTTTCATAATATCTTATTGATAAAGGTCCATTTTATATATTACACTGTTCTTGATTTTTAAATATTATTTAATTACTTGCAATTTTTTGTGCCAAGTTATATTGTATATTCTTTTTCTTGTCACTACTTGATTTATGTATAAATCTTTGTATAATGCGTATATGTGACCCTGTACCACAAAACCAGTCATAAGGGTAAATTTTTCGAAATTGAGATTTATACATTCTCTGAAAGCTGAATAAATAAGCTTTCCATTGATGTAGGATAGGACAATATTTGGCCGAGATACAACTTGAAAATCTGGAATCTGAGGGTGCAAAAAAAAATCTAAATATTGAGAAAATCGCCTTTAAAGTGGTCCAAATGAAGTCCTTAGCAATGCATATTACTAATCAAAAATTAAGTTTTGATATTTTTACAGTAGGAAATACACAAAATATCTTCATGGAACATGACCTTTACTTAATATCCTAATGATTTTTGGCATAAAATAAAAATCAATAATTTTGACCCATACAATGTATTTTTGGCTATTGCTACAAATATACCCCAGCGACTTAAGACTGGTTTTGTGGTCCAGGGTCTCACATGTATTATTATTATTGTATTGTAAATATTGTAATTTTATACAGACATAATATATGTATATATTATATACAGACATAATCATGGCAATAAAGAATTTGAAACTGAAAAACTGAATCGGATTGTTTGAAGAAGTATAGTGTAATTTATATCATAAATAAATAAATAAATCTCTTAGAAAATTGTTAATTTATAACTGATTTAATTTAGTACATAAATAAAAATTGAATTTAGACTGCAATGAATATACCTCTGATACCTGAATATAGCTCATATTTGAGACACAGTTACAGCATGATTTTTTAAAATAAATCTTGTATGAATGATTAAATAAGCACAAGATGCTTAAATTCAGTAAATAAGCAAAGATTTTCTAG